TATAATTTTGTATCTAGAGAATACACAAGACCTGACAGAATGAAATAAAGTGCTAATGAATGAGAAAAACAAAGTATGAGTTTTCTTCTGAGATCTAATTTTTTATATTAATATTTCTTCTCAATTTTTTTTTTGACAAGTTGCAGCTTTTTTTCTCATAGCCTGGTACTTTAAGGCATAGACTTGTACCTTCAGGAGATAGTTTGAAAAGAACAGCATTTAAAAATACTTCCTCTGCCAAACGGAAAAATACTGTTCCAAACAAATGTTATGCAGAACCTAACTGCACACAGTGATTTTCCAGAATGCTTAAAATAGAAACTTTCAGTCTTGATGTGAAGCAAAATTATCCACCCAGTTTTTGTTTATACTGTGTGAAAGCCTGCTCCTGACTGTATTGTACAGTGCAAAAAATATATAATATAGCTGTATTCCTCAGTTGGATGAGCTTATGCTTTAAGAAGCTGCATGTAATACTTTTAACTGATACTGCCATGCTCTGTTCACTCTTGTGATGACCAAACCATTAATTTGGTTATAAACAACAGAAAAGTTTAAACTGAAATGGCAGACACTGTCATGTATTGAAGCCTGCCGGAATCTGTAGTTGGAGATGCCACCCATCTAAGCTAAAGACAAAGCTGAGAAATGGATGAAGGGAATGAGAAAGTGCTGTATCTTTAGTGGAAATTTTTGGCATTATTGCTTGGGTCTTTAGGAAACATAATGGGGAAAAAAAAAAAAGCTCTACTGTAACCCTATCAGACTGCAGGATTAGGCTCTACTCAGTATACACTGGAACATATGCTTCAGCATTTGGAAGAATTGAGCTCTTATCTAAATTGGTAAGCTTAAGGTTCAGGTTCTTGCATAGCAGCGGTAATTCCCCAGAACAGCACAAATGCCTTTTTGATAGTGAATTATAGTGTTGGATTACACAGCCAGTTACGTACACAGTGCTGGTTTGTTTGTTGGTTTGAATTGACCTTACTAAGATCACAGAGCCATGTACTTAAAAGCTGGGGAATGTAAGAACTAAGGTGACTTTACAGTTCCAATTCATTCCTGGGCATGAATTTTTCAAATCCTTAATTGCATCATCTCATCTGTCTGTGATCCTCACAAAGCCAGAGCTTACTTAGTAGCTCAGAAAGAAGGGGGCTCACTTTACGTGAGCTGCTCTTCAATATTGTCAGGCAGTGTGGCCACTCTCTTAAGTGCTACATAATAGGTGAATCCTGTTCTGAAGAAAGAAAAGATCTTATGTTTTTGGTACTCATTGCTCTCGTATTGGAGTGCTTCATAAAGAAATTCATTAATTCAATTTCACAGCAGACTTAGTCAATTTGGGGAAAGGGAGTGTTGCTTTTACTTTACCAGTGGGTGGGCAAACTGGGGGTGGGTATCAGAATCAAAACAGTCTGCCCATTTTGGGTGCCTAGTGTCTGAAGCTTTATACATAGCTCTTGATATGCTTAATACAGAGCTCTTGTTGGCTTTGATTGCAGTGGTGGTATTTCTTCAGCAGTGAAGACACAGAGTTCGGACTGCAATCAAATAAGTAGTGTGCAATTACTCTGAAGGGTTTGGCTTGAGCATTTTGCACAGCTTCATGCTGTTTCTCAGTGTTTGCTTCTTTCATTCTGTTTTGATGGTAATATCATAGTAAGCAGTTCCTGCACCCTCTTACTGTCGCTTGCTTCTGTCATCAGATAGTTCTGCTACTTGAGGGAAATGTGTGATTGCACAGGGAGACTGATCTTAAGTGCCAGTTCTTGCTGTTTAAGCATGCTGCTGTGGTAGGGCAAAAGCTGTGTCAGCCGGATCAGTTCTTTGATACGGTTTGTAGTCTGGCTGCATGAACAGTTGCAGTGGCATAATGGAAAGGCCAGCAGCGAGTTTTGGATTTGTGAGGCTGGGAACTGCCTGAAGCAAATTTGGAAACAATTTAAGAAGCACTGCTGCCAAACACAGAATCATAGAATAGTTCAGGTTGGAAGGGACCTTTTAAGGTCATCTAGTCCAACCCCCCTGCAATGAGCAGGGACATCTTCAGCTAGATGGTATGTGCAGTCTCAGCCAAATTTCTCTTCCTCTCTCCCCCCTCCCTTCTGCCCTCAAATTAGTCATCTGTCTGAGGCAGGGGTCCTAAGTAGTCCTAAGTAGTGAGAACGAGATCCTAGTGCTAAGTGTTGTGACACGAGCATCTTGTACTCTTGGATCATGTCCTGGGCATGTTCTGAAATAGCAGCCGTATGGGAAAGGTGGGAGTCAGTCCCTCCAGTGCTGGCACTGGGCCCTGGTTCCAGTTTCTTGGCCAACAAGTTTCAGTCTCCCTTCCATTTAAGTCAGTAGTTTTATCTCCTTGTCACTCACCTCTCAGCCCCCCATCCCTCCTTACTCAGCCTGGTGGTTTCTCATTGTGCTCTGTTTCCCATCTGTAGCCTTTTCAGAAGAGTTGCTCTTGGGAGAGGGGCTGCGTACAGTCTGTCTGCAGTGATGATGGCTTTCTCCATCTCAAGATATGCTCAGCGAGGATCGACTCTACAATTTGTAGTTGCTGTGCTCTGCCAGCTACTGTGCAGGTGCAAAACGGAGGGTGTTTTCGAGGCCTCTTAGCTCAGCCACCTTTGGGCAGGTTTTCACATGGACGGAAAAAACATGTTGAGATGTGAAAGTACTCCTTTCTCTGGCACATTTCAAGCCCTTGTTACAGAATTGAAGAAGCTAGGCCTTGTCAGATTCTGGTCAGAGGACCAGGGTTCAGCATAGGAAGAAAATAGATGGTTTTGCCAATTTTAGTCTTGAAAACAGATGATCTACTTTGGATGACTTTTTTTTTTGTTGTTGTTCTGAGAAAACCTCATCCTAATGAAGAATTTGCAGCTTGTGCTACCTTGTGTTCTAAGGTCTGCACTGGCAAATTTTTACAAGTGAGCGAAAGATGAATTACTATGATAGGAAGTATGAGGCAACTTTAATAGTAGGAGGTGCTGCAAGCTCCCAGTAGAAAGTTAGACTGAAATTAGAAACTTAGACTGAGGAGAGTAACTTTTTATTCTCTGACTATGTTTTTTAGAAAACCTGCAGGAAGTAGTATTTCCTTTCCTTGCATTAATATGATATGTAGAATTTAGCTTTCAGAATTATCTCATTATTGCGTTTGTCCCATTTACAAGTGCTTACTTGGATCAACTGTCATGTTTAGTGCAACAAACATAGTGTTTACCAAACTAGAATTTAGCTTTTTGTTATCTGCTCATTTTTGTTAATTCAAGTCTGCTAAAACTTGCGTGAAGTTTGAGTAGTCTTCTTCAGGATCTGACTTCTTTGATACAAACTTCAGGATGTGTGTATTGCTTATGGAGTTCAACCTGCGCATGTTTCAGAACATCTGAAGTTTAAGTAAAAAGGCTTTTGTCCTGTGTGTTTCTGTTAATATTTTGAGAAGAGAAACAGAGCAGATATGAAGACTTTTTCTCTTTATTGTCATGAAGAGCAAATCTATTCAGTATTGATTTATCTGGAATTTTATTGTGTATTTTGGACTTGGTCAGCAGTTCATAAACTTTACAGAGGATTTTGATATGTTTTTCTATAGGAGAAGTAATTTAAGCCAAAGAACGGGAGCCCATAAGCATTTGGTTACTTTGTGTGCTATGAGCGCTTCTGTTCTCATTGTCCTCGGTGAAGAGACTGCACACAGCATGGTACTTGCTTTATCTTTGTTTTCTTTTATTCAGGCCTAAGCTGTCACTTGTAACCAGTGTTCAAGAAAGCCAAGTGTTGCATGCATTGGCCACGTTAAATACAAATGCGAGTTACACGCTTCCATGTAGCAAAAGGTTGTATTTTTAATGAATGATGTTAATTCCAAGTGTTCCAAAGAAGATGGTTCTGGTCATACCATTAATTTTTACCTAAACAATTCATATGTAAAAACTTAGTAAGCCATGCGTATTGTATTAACAGTATACATCTTATTATTTAAAATACTGTAAATCAAATTACTGTAACTTGAGAGTAGTTGATGAGTTTTTATTACGCGTTTCTGTAGATAACCAGTTCCGTAATAGTAACTAAGATGTCAGCAAATTCTGAAAGGACAAATACTTAGTACTTAGGTCTGAAATATATATATTTTTGTTGTTTTGTTTTGTTTTTTGTTTTTTCTTTTGCTGTGGACAAGTGGACTATCAGGCATGTGTAATGACCTACTTCTTAAATTGAAGGTGGTTTTTTTTTTTTAATAGTTGGAATCTAATCCACATTTGTATTTCCTGGTTCTCCAACTCACTCCCCAAATAGATGTGCATGTTCTGTGGGGATTAGGATTCATTCAAGCAGTGCACTGTTTTCTGAATTAAAAAGGTGAATTAAATATTTTTCTCTGTAGTCACCAACTTTGATGAAAAACACACCTGAAAGGTTTTAACAGAAGCAACTGGAAAGACGCAGAACGTTTTCCATCTGGCAAAAATATCAGTAGCCTTAAAAAGCAAAGAATGAAAAAGAGCATTGGTGGTTGTGGCTGGTTGTCCTGTTCAGAGGGATTTTTCCTGCATGAGAGGCTGTGGCCAGGAGCACCCCTCAGTTTGTTTCTTGTCCTAGTGGTACCAGTGTTGTGTTGACTTTCTGCTTAGCAGGTTTCTTGGAAGTAGGTGATGCTTGTAGGGAGTTCAGACAGATTCTGATACTCGGTGTTTGGTGACTTGCTCTCTTATACCTCTTGTGTGTTTGTTTTTGTTGTTTTTTTTTTTTTTTTTTTTTTTTTGTACCAAGAACGTGGGACCTGTCTTTTTAGTAGTTTAGCTGTACAGAGTGTAGTTGTACCTGGTTTTGCAAAAAGATGGTGCTTGTCAAAATGAAGCTTGGCATAAACATGCTCACATGAACACTTGAGAACATAGTTTGTACATACAGGACACTGAAAAGCTTATTCTGGCAGTATGCTTGTAAACATTTCTGTGCCTTGTTTGGTTTTATTTTGACCCTGACAGAGCCAACAGTGCGGGCAGAACTGATGGAACAGGTGCCTCATATTGCTATGTTCTGTCAAGAAAACAGACCTTCAATCCCATATGCTTTTTCCAAATACTTACTGCCTATTGTGGTACGCTACCTTGCAGACCAGAATAACCAGGTAAGTGTATTTTACAAATAGTTTATTAGCTAGCTGAATATACCTGGTGTGAGGTTTTTCAATTTAAATAATTTAGCATCATACAAGTCTGTAGTATTTCAGAGTAAAAAGGTTTTGAATGACATGAAATACATGGCACTCTGAATTTCAATTATTTTTCATCTAATGTGATCTGATTTGGAGCTTTTATCTGCTATTGTATTCTTATGTACAAAATTAAATGTCATTTTGATAAGCTTACACAATTTAAATTTTGGCAAAAAGGAAAAACAGTTACGAAAAACTGACTCCTTGGTATAATTCAATTTTATAAGATCATTACATACTTTCATAATCAGTTAGTTGTATATTGATCCAGTAAAGCTTTTGGATTGAACTTATATGGTTTGTTTTTCTGCATGTATGAGTTAGTTTGTCTAAAGCTCTCTCTAGGCTTCTCCAAGTCATTTCAGACTAGACTAATCCTAGGTGATTCATTATTTTAAGTATTTTATGCCTCTGAGTTTGTAACTTTTTTTTTGCCCTGTCCAGATTTTCCATAACACAAATAGGTGCCACAACATATTTTTCTTAATAGTTAGTTTGCTAATTCATGTATAATACAACCACCATACTTCTCCTTGATATTCTGTTGCTAGCAGATCAGCACTTCCGTTCATCGTCTTAACTTCTGTTGATGCTCTGTAGTTCATTTGACCGGTTTGTTCTGAAACAAAGATCTCGAAGGTGTTTTCAAAATTGCTGCATTGCAGTATATAGTCTCTTGTTTTATGTAATGTTTTCTCTTCTGATGAACTTTTTTGAGAGATGGGGATTAACCACATATGAAATCAGTTATTAATGGTTATCTTATTTTTGTACAGTCTCTTTTGTTACATGAGAATAAGCAAAATTGTCTCTCATAATTTAAAATAAATTTGAAATAAGCACAGTTATTCATTGTCAGCCCAACTTGTTAATCTCAGAAAGGAGTATTTGTTTAATAAAGAGGATTTGTTTAATAAAATTCACATTCCTTAGAACTTTGTTACTCCCAATTCTTTGTGCTGCTTTTCTTGCATGAGCTTTGCTGTGACTACTTTTTTTAACTTTGATGTCGTTTGTTTTGGGAAGTGCGTAGGTGGACATTTTTATTATAATAGCATTGCCTTAGTTTGTGATATGCAGCTGTTCTTGGGTTCAAACTTAGTTTGCTTCAAACATGAAGTGTTTGCAAAAGTGGTTTTGGAGCAATTGTCCTCTCACCGAGTGCAATTGGTATAGGTGTGTGGCAGTATATAGGTACAGCTTCCAAAATAAGGATGCATTTAAACAAAAAAACCCCCCAAACTGTCTTTGAATTCCTTTGTTCAATTTTTGTCTTTTTTTTATGATAGGTAAGAAAAACAAGCCAGGCAGCATTGTTAGTTCTATTGGAGCAAGAACTCATAGAGAGATATGATGTGGAGACCAAAGTATGCCCTGTTCTGATAGATCTGACAGCTCCAGACAGCAATGATGATGTGAAGACGGAAGCTGTGGCTGTAAGTAACAGCAATACCAAATAACACAGTATAAAGCTTGCTTGAATGGTTGATGTTGCAGTGATGGTAGTGTGTTTCCAAGAGGCATATCCATGTGGCATTAAAGAGAAAAAATTACATTGCTATCCATAACTAATCTGTAACTTTTTCCATGCTATGTTACACCCAAGTCAAGGTTAGACTTAAATTCAATAGCTTATATATGCTGAAAAGAAAAACCCATTTGGACAAGACAGTGCAGGGGATTAATTTTATTGACTCTAAAGCATCTGCTGTTGTTGGCTTTTTAGTTTTTTCAGGTTTGGTTTTTTTATGGAATTTTAATTGCATATGTGGAAAATTTCCATCAGTGGAGAATCTTTAATGCTTGAATTTTGTTGGTCTTTGCTGTATGTGTATTCATTTTGTTGATTTTTTTGTTTTGTTTTATTGGACGAAATAATAAACAACTGAGTTGATTAATTCATGGTTGATTGGTTAATTTTTTCTTTTTTTTTATTAGACACAACCTTAATAATTAAAAATTATTATGTGTTGAATTAAAATAGAAGCAAATTAATAAGTTCATTTAAAAAAGAGAAGTGGCAGAAGATGTATGTCCTTATGTTTCCTTTGAATTTCTGCAATTTATGTTGATGCTTTTTTCCAGGTGTGTTGTTTTTTTGATGGTGTAGCGTTTTTTGTGTGTTTTTGTTGAGAGAGACTTCATTGATATTTTACTTTCATAATGTGGCTGGACTTATAAACAATCAGCAGCCTGGGCATTACTCTATTTGGCACCAAATCTCTAGTACTTTTTTTGAAGAAGCTTACAAATGCATAAGGGAATAAAATTAAAGCAGAATTGTTCTACACATCTTCATTGTTTTGAAGATACTGAAACTTGAGAAAGGTTTCTGTAGCTCACCAGGCCTCAGAGGTTAAAAAAATAGTACTTTGTTATTACAGGAAAATGAATTCAAGTAGTTCTGCTGATGTGATTAGGAAAGTTAAACATAAAATTCTTTTAGATTACCTTCTTTTTTTAAAAGTTGTAGTAAAAATCAGAATGAAAGAGCAATTAGAGGGAAAAGCTCTCACTTTTGTATGATACGCTTTTTCAGTACTTTTATGTTAGGGATTTGCATATGCGCAATATGGAGTGTTGTAATTAAATTATGCAGAAGCTGTAGAAGTCACTTAAGCATATTAATTGTCAATTTCCTGTTAATTGTAAATATATCTATATTTGTTAATATTGGAATAGTGAAAGAATCTTTATTTATTTTTGTAAGTCTGTTTAAGATATGAGGGTAATTTCTGAGAGTTCAGTTATCTCCACTAGTTAGGAATTTGATTTAGACCAGTGCCTTGTACAGCTATGTGTTACATCATGATAGGGGGAGAGTAAAAAGAAAAAAAAAATTTTTTTTGCAGAAGTGGCCAAAACTTTTCAATTCAAGATATAGAAATTTTTTTTAATATTTTCACAATTTTCAATAAAATTATGTGCATCAGAATGAAAAGTAAATGTAAAAAGCTTCTGCTTAACTGACACGGAATTGTGTGTTTTGTAAGCATCCTGATAAGTGTCTGTCTTGCCATTAGATAATGTGCAAAATGGCCTCCATGGTGGGAAAGGACATCACGGAAAGACTTGTTCTTCCTAGGTTTTGTGAGATGTGCTGTGACTGCAGAATGTTTCATGTTCGTAAGGTATGAATTATCAGCATCTGGTTTGGATTATCTGTGAAAGCAGTGTCATCAACTTGGAACTTGCATTTGTCTAAATGACTTTTTCCCTGCTAGATCTAATTTGTGACATGTGTAAGTGAAAGGTATGGGGTTTCTTTGGAGCTTGCATTTCCACAGATGTTATATTTGACACCTGAGATTTTTTCCCAGAGTCCCTACCTTTATTATCAGAAACAAAGGAGGAATCTGCTTGTCCTTATGATGGTGTAGGTAGCCATGAAAATGTGAACCAATTGTAACTGATACGGCATCAGCCACCTTAGCTCATATCTCTGTGTGTAGATGGAATTAAAGACGCTCATTAAGATGAAATAAACCATTACTCCATCATGGTATTTAGATGCTGAGGCTGTGTTTTTGTTTCACTCTGCCATTGCATAGCTCGTTTTCCTTGATAACTGCTTGTATTCTTTCATTTGACAGCATTTTGAACACATTTTATCCTCCTTCCCTTTCACTGAAGTTCTAAGGTGGTTCTTTCATGATTAAAAAAGGCTGATTAAGCTTGAAATTAAGAAAACAATTGTATTTTATTTTATTTTTTTTAAACCATGGGAACTGATGGAATGGGGAAGTGACTGATACTGAGTTTGCACCAAAACTTGTTTTTATGGCTTTAACAGGTGCTTAAATTTTTCTTTTAATTTTGTTTCCTCTATTAAAACTGTAGTCTCAGTGGTTATTTCTTACATTTTTTCTGCAAGGTATGTGCAGCCAATTTTGGAGATATCTGCAGTGTGGTTGGGCAGCAAGCCACTGAAGAAATGCTGGTAAGCCATTTCTTAAAGGATTTTTCTTTTTAATACAAGTCAGTAGTGGAGCTGGACAACGTACAGCTAAAATGATTAGACAACTGCTACACTCCCTTAGTAAGAAGAGATTAAAAAAGCTGTGACTTCAGTTTTGCTGACCTGAGGTTATGATTGATGTTACAAAAGACAGTTACTGTGAATACAGAACTGCTACTTGCCAAGTCACACAGTCTAAGGGATACTCAATTTTAGAGCAGGGAGAAGGGTTTAAACCAAACTGAAGAAAATGCATCTCCTTAGACTGTGGAGGCAGAGAGTATGTTGCAAGTTCAAGAATACATTAGGCAAGAACTAGGCAGGAATTTCTAATGTCCATAAATGCAATGAGAGATTGCAGATACAGCGTGAGCATGGGGAGTGTAGACGTCTAGAAGGGGCAAGGCTTATGTGGTCTCTTTAAGTGGCATCACTTAATGCTACTGTTCATCTTTTAAAGTCAGTTTTCCTGACTCTAACAAAGCCTCACAACCCTCCTGGGAAGGAGAGAAAGAATGGCAGAAAAAATAAACAAAACTGGACACTAACAAATGAAATGGAGGGAAGAGATACAAATTCAATGTGGAAAAGCAGCGAACTGGATGGAGCAGTGAGCAGAAGGTCCTTAAGACCACTTAAGGACTTAATGAGTACCCACCCCATTTCCCTGGCAGGTCCAAGGAGCTGGTGGGTGTTGCTAGGCTTGGAGACATGACAGGACTAGGGAACAGAAATCAGCCTGACAGTCGCTGGGATCCTTCTTCTCCTCGTGGGGATGTGGACAGTGAACTTGTTAAGGGCCAGAGGAGGTTGATGAGTCAGTGCCATGAATTAGCGTGAGACTTCTGTGGAGAGAGTGTAAATGCAGGGATGACTTCAACAAGAGGCTCTGCAGCCTTTTGCAGATGTGGTATTGGGACAAGTACACCTATTGTGACGCTCAGGGCATTTCTTGTGTTCTTACAGCATTTGCTGCATTTTTCCCTATGTACTGTGTGATTCAAGCCATTTGATAATGAAGTATTGTTGCGTAGATTTGCATCTCACGTGTTTCTTAATTGGGGGTGTAAATTGATTTCTCTCACACAAATGCACTCTTAGTGATACATGTCATGAATTTGGGTTAAAACTTTGTAGAGAGTGCCATTGAACTATGCAATAAAAAAGTGGTGGTTATTTTATGTGAAAGCAGTAACATGTGGCTGGACGGTTGGGGATCTCTTTCCATAACAAAAAATTACATTTTCTGCTCTTTTTGGATTACTAAAAAAAAAAAAAGGGAGGGGGGGGAAAGCTGAATGGCTTTAGATAAAACTTCATTTTTTAACATAAACGCTTTTTTAACAAGAAGCAAAGTCCAGAAAACTTTACAGAAAGTAGGAACAGCTGAACTTCAATAATTGAGAACAGAGCTGTAGCATCAGTCACTGTATTACTTGCATCTTGCCACTCTGCCTCTTGCAAGCAAGGGCAGCCATGTGATGACCTGCATCTCTAACTGCCTCACTTGCACTCTGTCCACTGTTTCATCCTTGCCATTACTGTTTCTAAAAAACTCAAGCACTTGCGCAATCTCAAAACACTTCACTCATTAGTAAAACCACTGCTCTGTTCGAACCTGTTTTCTCTTGCATCAAAAGGCAGTGTTTCTCTCATTCTTCTATTCTTCTGTGCCCTTCAGGTTCTGTTTTGCAGGGTAGGTATTGGCAGAGATTGGTAAATCTAGCAATGAGAAGTTTAGGTAGAAAAGAAAGGTTTTCGTTCTTTCTGAAGATGCTCTTCCTTTGCATTTCAGTGAGAATCTTACAAAAATCTGAAGTGGTCTTTGATAGGTAAAATGTTAATGCACCAGTATTCTTTAAGTTTTTGTTCCTTTCAATGATATCTGCTTTAAAAGAATGGTTAGAGGTGAGGTTTGGTCTTATGATAGGTTTTCTGGGCTTGGGGATATTTTTGGAGTTGGGTTTTTGGGTTTGTTTTTTTTTTTTTATAAATAAGGTTATAAAGTTAGTACTTTCTTGCTATTCTTCAGACAGGTGAATTTTCATCTGTATCCATAAGTAACATGAGAGCAACTGATTAGAACGGTGGTGTTACTGAATTGGTGTTTTTTGTCTTGTAAATGTTAAACTAATGCATCTGAGTATGAGGGCAGAGAACCAGATGAAGGAAATGAATGTGAAGAAAGAACTTGCTTTGAAACAAGTACTGCCTGTTAAGACTTGCAAACTTACTTACTGTGTTCCGAACAGCTGCCGAGGTTTTTCCAGCTCTGCTCCGATAATGTGTGGGGAGTTAGGAAAGCCTGTGCTGAATGCTTCATGGCAGTTTCTTGCGCAACATCACAGGAAGTCCGGAGGACAAAATTGTCAACCCTTTTTATTAATTTGATTAGTGATCCTTCACGATGGGTAAGAATTGCTTTTTATTTCTTGAGTAGATGTCATATTTAAAGGATTTTACTGTGATACTCAATATAGAACTTCTCCCTGTAGGAGAGGATAACATAACTTGTTTCACATACCTCAAGGAAACTTCTTAGACTGCTTAGTTTGTCAGTGGGTGTAGAGAGTCCGTCACATTTTCACTGCAGCATGTAAGAAAACTGTGTCGGTGGGTTAGCTTTTCTTAGCTACAGAATTTCCTGTGACTTAGTGCTGCTGAAAATCATTAACAAAAATGGAAAAATGGATGTGATTGATTGGTATTTCTTCAGCTTCCCTACCGCCACCGCCTTTTTGCAGGGCGGGGGGCGGGGGGGCGTAGGGCAGTGGTGGTTGTTGTTTGGGGTTTGGGTGGGTTTTTTGTTTGGTTGGTTTTCGGTTTGGGGTTGGGTGGGGTTTTTTTGTTGTTGGCTGTGGGGTTTTTTTGTCTTGAAGATCTACTCTTCAAACCTTGTTAAGTTTGCTATTGAGCAGACTACTTGGGAGAGCCAAAAGTAGGTCTTTTGCACAGGAGCGTGAGCTTTTGGATCCTGGAAAGTTGTGCAAGTTGTAGCTCAGCAGAATTAATCAAATAATGAAAATTATGAGGTAATTGTTGAGAAGGGGAGAATAACTCAGGAGAACGGAGGAGCAAATGAACAACGTAGCCAAATAGGAAAGGGAGAGAAATGCAGAGCTTGTAATCAGTCAGACTTATGGTAGTGAAGTATCTCTTCACTGCACATAATTTTTTTTTTCCTTTCAAGTTGTTAAAATTCTCAACTGAGCTTTCAAATTTACCTGCTTCTACTATCTAAATAATTGTGCTTTCTTTGGTTGTGCAGAATAGGCCTGTCAACTTAGTTACCTGTGACTTAACTGTTTTTACCCTGCTTTTTCTTAACTTACACTTTATGTATACAGCTGTCTGACTCTTTCCAGACAAAAGCCTCTGCTGTTGCTTTCCTCAGTAGACTTATGACCCTTCCAATTCCTAGTAGCAGGTGTTTATGTTTTATAGGACAGCAAGATTTATATATATAATTTTGTTCCCCTTGGACCCATTCCACTAGGTCCGCCAAGCTGCTTTTCAGTCTCTGGGGCCTTTCATATCAACTTTTGCTAATCCATCGAGCAGTGGGCAGTATTTTAAAGAAGATGATGGTAAAAACCCAGACGGTTGTGGTTCTGCACAGGAAAACAGGTAAAGAATTTGCTAAATCTACATATTTTTTCCTCCTTGTTTTTCTTCTGTATGACCTGAAAGTTAAGGAAATGAACTTTCCTGTATAAATTATTTATCTTGGTAAATGGAAAGATCTGGAACTTCTCATCTTACTTAATAGACCACAAGAATTTTCAGTTGTTTACTAAAAATACATAACTATTCAGTAACTTAGAATACCTTATGATATATGTTCTGTGATGAAATGATTGACTTGATAGACAAGGGAGAGCAGTGGATATAGTCTACCCAGATTTAAGTAAGGCTTTTGACATGGTCTCCCATAAGATCCTCATGTGGAAGCTGATGAAGTATGGCCTGAACAAGCAGACAGTGAGGTGGATTGACAGCTGGCTGAATGGCCAGGCCCAGAGGGCGCTGATCAGCTACATGTAATTGGAGGCCAGTAACTGGTTGTGTACCTCAAGGGTCAATATTGGGTCCGGTCCTGTTTAACATCTTTGTTAATGATCTGGATTATGGAGCAGGGTGTACCCTCACCAAGCTGGTTGATGACACAAAACTGGGAGAAGTGGCTGATGTGCTAGAGGATCATACTGCCATCCAGAGGGGCATCAATATGCTGGAGAAATGGGCTGGTAGGAACCTCTTGAAGCTCAGCGAGGAAGAGGGCAAAGTCCTGCACGTGGGGAGGAACGACACCCCGGGCACCAGTACATGCCGGGGTCTGACTGGATGGAGAGTGGGTTTGCAAGAAAAGGCCCTAAGGGTCATGGTGAACACCAGGGTGACCATGAAATGTGCCCTTGCAGTAGAGGCCAATGGTATCGTGGGCTGCATTATGAGGAGTGACACCAGCAGGTTGAGGGAGGCGATCCTTCCCCTCTGCTTAGCACTGGTGGGGCCACAGCTGGAGTGCTGGGTCCAATTCTGGGATCCACGTTATAAGAGACATAGACGTACTGGAGAGAGTCCAGGAATGGCCACAAAGATGATGAAGGGAGTGGAGCATCTCACCTATGAGGAAAGGCTGGGAGAGCTGAAACTGCTTAGCCTGAAGAAGTGAAGGCTCAACGGGGATCTCCTCAATGTATGTAAATACCTGAAGAGAGGGTGTAATGAGGACGGAGCCAGGCTTTTTTCAGTGATGCCCAGTGACAGCACCAGAGGCGATGGGCACATCCTGAAACACAGGAGGTTCCCCCCCTGAACATCAGGAAACACTTTTTACTGTGAGGATGACTGAGCACTGGCACAGGTTGCCCAGGGAGGCTGTGGAGTCTCCGTCCTCCAAAATATTTAAAAGCCATCTGGACACAGTCCTGGGCAGCTGTCTCTGGGTGTCTGTGCTTGAGCAGGGGGGTTAGTGCAGATGACCTCCAGAGGTTCCTTCCAACCTCATCCATTCTGTGATTCTATGATTTATTTTGCTATGCTGTAAGTAAATCTAGTTTGATAAATAGTAAGCTGATAGCATGCGTGTGAATTTTCAAGAGCATCTGTTTGCAGCAAGTGTATTTTGGGTTTTAAATGTTCATTTGCTTTGGTACTCAACAGTGAACAAGTCAGGACTACAGAAGATGTCACAACAAAGGATGAGCACAACAGGACAGAGGATCTGTCTTCACATGTTGCAACAAAACTTGAAAATGCCATGGAAGATCAAAATACAGTGTCAAATAACACCCAGAGGGAAAGTGACTTCCAGACTGAGTCATCCTTCCGTTGCACTTTGTCTTCAGAATCTTGTGGGGAAATGGCTGACGAGAATGAGCGAAGTTCTCATTGCTGTACAGCAGGTCTGCGGGAGGCTGTGCTGAATTCACAGGAGACCTCTCTTTCAGAGCAGGAATTGTACAACTCTTTCCATTTCTGGAGGACTCCACTTCCTGAAATAGATATTGACTTTGAGCTTCAGCAGACTTCTGAGATCATACTCGATAGAGAAATTCAGGAACTCACTATGCCAGTGTCTCCAAACATTCCTATGGCAACAAGGAAAGAATTGGAAGAAATGATAGAAAATTTGGAACCCCATATAGATGATCCAGATGTTAAAGGTATAGTAAAGATACTAAAGCATTTTTAGTGTTTGGAGATCTGCATATGTTGCTGTAGCAGTTCAGGCTTTAGCCTTTCTGTTGTTTTAAAAGTCAGAAGTACTACTTTCTCATGGTCCTCAGAGTGTATCTATTTTGATTTCATTGTGAAAATTGATGATGAACTAAAAGGGAACTTGCATTTGTGTAAAGATGTTTAAAGGTAGTATGATCCTTTCCATAAACTGAATACACAGGTAGCTGTATAAACTTCCGACTGCCTGTTTTGACAGTATAATCAAATAGATGGCATAAACTGTTGATCAGGAAATGAATTTGTAATTAGCGTACATGCAAAATAAGAGGCAGATTAAGATTATTTTTTTTTAATATCGGAGTGTGATAAATGGCCATTTTATGCATTATGCATTTTATTTTTAATGAATTGGTCTTTCTCATTTTTCTGCAAGGTCTTTATTATTACAGTCTCACGTTGTCAACTTAAGTGCGCCAGGTTTGTTGGGTCAAACTGAGAGCTGATCCAAACTGAATTCTTGAAATGAATGCACATTCTCCATTTTAAAAGCTCTTGAAGGGTGGAGAAGGGTTTCATAAGTATGACCAGCTGGTGGAGCAGCACCTCAGAGATACCTCCTGGGCTGAAATGACTATTTCACACATACCTACTGGAGATACGTTTCTCTTGGTATTTATATGCTGAATAAATTGTAAGGCACATCAACCTTGAGCATCACAGTCAGAAAGTCCAGAGGTCCCACTAAGGAAGACGCCATGTTATTTTGGAGTGGAAGAATCCTAGGGGAAAGCATGCTTCTATACCAGGAAAAGTAGGAAGGAAAAAGAGGGGCAAGCTGGGAGTGGGAAAAACATTCAGAATAAACTGGTGGTACTTTTTGTTCTTAGTAGGTTCATATGGTAATTTTTCTTAAATCCATTTTGGGCTGCTTCTATTTAATCTGTTGTGAAGTCAACAGATGAAACTTTGTTGCTTTAAGAGTGCTTTGGGCACTCTAAGGAAAGAGATAAAAAAAAAAAAGAAAAAAATTCAGTATTGCTGAAGTTTTGACTGTCTTCACATAACCCATTTCTGAAGCCCACTGTTAAAACTTGCTGTTTAGGTTTGTTTTATAAAACTTTGTTCTGTCCAGTTACAGAACATATCTTAAACGTTTTTAATGAAGATTTATGTAGGTATGTATTTGTACATCCAGAATTGTCCTGTGTTACAGGTTTGTTTCTGTCATGTGTTTGCTCACGTCTTGTTTCAAAGCAGGGTTAGGTTTTTTTGGTAGCTCTCTTGACTGGATGTCAAAAGTTTTTTTCTGTGCAGTTGTTTACTAGCACGTGTGCATTTCAGTAGAAGAAAACTGTTACTAGGTTGTCAGTACCAGGGGTTTCCAGTGCCCACAAGTTAGGAAAGATTTGAATTGAGAGTTACTAGTGCCATTTATTCTAATTTGGGGTGGGTGGTCGTAATCACTCAGTCACCTTTGTATTCCGTTCTGACTTGGTCAAGACTGTGTAGTGAAGCCCCATGAAACACACCTAAAGCTTGTACTTTTTTTTTTTTTTGTACTCTTGCCTGTACTGTCATTATTTGGTCTAAATACTTCAGAAACTGGCATGTAACAACATGCCTGTTTTGATTTTGTAATGTTGCTATTATAATTTTGCATAAAGTGCATTGAGGCATAAGAAAACTGAGACCAGAACTGACAGAATGATACTCATTTTCCTTGCTTGTCTCAAACACTGAAGCGCACACAGAATTGGTAGGTATCCAGACTTCAGTCTCTGAGTAGCTGACTTAATGCCTATGTTTTGGACCTTATACTCCATAAATTGTGACAACAGGGAGGTAGACTCCCTTTGGGGTTGATCCAGAAGATCAGAGCCCTGACTACCTCTTTGCTCATGACAATACCAGGATTAATGCTTCCATCTTTACCATCTAAAACTGTTGTTGCAAACTGACGGTATAACTATTCAGTCCAAAGATGGTCTTAATTTGTTATTTTCATAGAAATTTTATGAAACTTCTTAATTTCACAGATGATCTTGTCTCCAGTATATGTGGCTTACAAGTGTTTGGCAAACAGCCCTGGTCCCAAGCAGTGCTTAGGGTCTTTCCCTGCATGCCATGCCCCCCCCCCAAGACTAGCTGTTATGTTTTTATGAGTCATGTACTGTGAGTGGGATGGTTCTTGACAGCAAAGACTGAGCAAGCTAGAAATTTTTTTTCATTCTATTTTTTTTTTCTTTTTGAATCTCTGTGGCCTTTTTCTTGCACTTATTTTCTTCATTGGTTTGCTGTCACTCAAGTCCTGGATTCCTGCTTCCATGCTGTGCTTCTGTCTCTGCATTTATCGCTTCATTCCTAGCAAAGATGCTGCGTTCTCTGTGGTGGCTAAGCGGAGGCCTGCCATATGAGAGAGCTCCCATAGGTACACATCTTCTGGTTTCTATAGCACATGGGGCAAGCGTCCTAGGGACATTACAAGATGAAGTGGGAGTGAGTTAGCAGAAGTGTAGTTTGGGAATGAGACTGTAGTGTATGTTGTTCAGACAACCTTAACTCTGGCTGTACCTAGCCTCTCAGTGCTTGACTGTGCAATTTCAGCACCCTTCTCTTAACATGTTTTGCTTTGGAGAGTATTTTCTAAACTTAACAGGTATTCATTTTCTTGTTTTTTTTTATGTGGAACCATATTGGCCATGGTCCTTGGCACAGAGTTCATTGAAGTTTCTTAAGAACACACTGATTTTTTTATTATTTGACTCTGCAGAATTACTGGTGATGGTAATAAGGTGATGTCCTTCATGATTGATGATTTCTGTTTTGCTAGTTGGTGTCAGAGCCAGTCCCTGACAGCTGAGGGAGGTGTGGAGATTTGGTACCGGAATGCAACCAGCAATGATTCTTTCTGAGTCAGAGTACAGTTTTTTTTGGTTGGATTTTTTTGTTTGTTTGTTTCACACCCCCACCCCCCATACATTTCGCTGTATATGCATCCGTAGCAACTACTATACCTTTGTACCCCATCCCCTCCCTCTTTATGTATTTCCCCTCCTATTTCCTTTTTTGTTTTCATTTCTCTTCCCTTCTGGATTCTGCATTCCTCTGCTTTGCATGTCTCCCCTCACCCTTCTATGTTGTGTGAGGTGCTTCTTCCCTCACCTGCTGGCATCGCTATAGCAGAAGTATTGAGAACAGAATAACTCAGTTTTTATCTAAGGGGTACCTCAGTATACCATGACAAGGGGGAGGATGAGTTGAAAGGAAAGGCATTGCCAGCTTGTGCAGCCCGGAGTACAGTATGTTCAGTGCATACCCCACTCTTCCAGATGTCTTGGCTGCCAAGCACTACTGGGTTGCTGCTTACATAAACAGAACAAACTGTTTGTGGTTGTGTGGGCTTTCTTGGTGTTTTTGTTTGGGCGGTTTTTGGGTTTGTAACCTGACTGTGTTTTCTATGTTTCTGTAGTGCACCTCCCTATCATCATAGCAGTTTCCATTTCAAGCTTCAAATCTTTGCTCCAAGGCATGGAGACCGCGTTCTCTAGCAAGTACAGTTTAACAGTGGCCAGCAGCTGCCTTAGAAAGTGGGGGTTTTTTTTCCCCCCATAATCTCATTTTCAGAAAAAGGTGAACTGCTTTAACTGAATTTCACTCTCAAAAATCTTCACCTTGAGACTTTCTTTCCAGAACTAGCTTGTTGTCAAAGTGATAAATCTGAAAATGACGGGTAGTTGAGCAGTTAGCAACCAAGATGAAGACAGCCTGTCTTCTCACAGACAAACTCTACTGGCTAGCAGAGCTACGCAAGCTATGCAAAGTTAATCAGTGGTATGTAATCCCTGTTAATAGGACCTTTCCAATCCACTGGTCAGACATCCTGATGGTCTCAAACTGGGAGATGGAAACCTGCACATTCCTCTGAAGTATGCCAGCTCTTTTAACGTTACCACAGGGTCTTTATTTGGGTCACCTTTTTCCAGCTCCCTGAGGCTGTTGCCATCTTCACTTACTTCAGAGGTTGCTTTTCTTTCCCCAGACATTTTTATTTCTTTATTTTATTTTCCAGGGACACTTTCTTCATCTTTATTTATATCCTTATATTCTGTATAGAATATGCTAAATCATGTAATGTCAGCTTCTCTTAATATTATTTGGGGGACGAGAGAAAGCCTGACTTAGAGGTTACTGGGGCTAACTGTAGCTTATGCCAATTACAGGCTGCTTTGCCAAATGGCAACCTAACAGGGATAAACCAGCCCAAATGTGGGGTCAGTTGATCTCATTCCCTTATAAAAAATACGTTTATAAATTAGGATACTAGTGCTGCCTGCAATAAAATTCTAAAATATATTGTTAATGGAACAGTAGGCGAGGAGGAAGTAGAGAAGAAACTCCTCTGATCTTTATGTTTTAATTATTTGCATCTCTGTACCCATTAGCGGAGCCCATAGCATCTCTGTACGCATTAATGGAGCCCGTAGCTTTTGCCTCTGAGTAAGAAGTGAGGGTAGGGAAGGCAGATCCTTCAGAAAAAAGAAGAGAAATACCAGTGTCTTCTAGTGAAACATCAGGAGAAACAGCAAACCACAATAAAGCATATTGAGAGGACAGAAACTCCTGAGGACCTGGAAATTTAACAAGGCTGGGTAAAATGTGGTTTTGAATTTAAAGATTGTGCGAGTTATTTTAGCATGCAGGTACAGTAGCCAAGGGTAAATAATTCCTTCCTGAAAACTACTTCTCACCTGAAGCAAAAGTCAAAGGAAGAAAGAGTTAATTAGCAGATGGTTTAAGATCCAGTGAACATTGACTTTATCTTACCAATGCAATGCAGGAGTTCTGTGTTATGCACAAAACTGACCTTTACACTTCAATTTTTACTGAAGGTAGTTGTGAAAGCTAGTTAGCCAGCAGATTCCCTTCCAGTCTTCCTCCCAAAACCTTGCTTCCCAAGAGCTCAGGCATTTCTCTGTGTGATGTGTGAGAGGGGAGCCTTATCCTTTGCTTGTACTTTTATGGTTTTCTGGAAAACGTTGCCTGTCTTAATGGCTGTAGGAAAGATCTTTGTGGGTGATGGGGAGGAGCAGCAGCCACGTCATTCAGGAGGGTGTCAGCACATATCTGGGTGGGATTACAAGGGGATGTGCCCTGGCACTTGAGCCCGGAGTGGTGAAGACAGCTCATTAGGATGCTGTCTCAAGTTTCAGTAGCTTTAAGGCAGCCACCTAGAACTGTGCATACGTACACACATACACGCACATGCACTCTCTTTCTCTTCCTCTTATGCTAAGCGCTTCATCATTCTGGAGCCTTCCATAGTGACTGTGCCTGGCTATATTTGGCTAGGACCTTAAGATATTTACGGACTTCAGGTCATTCACCTTTCAGTGAATGACAGCACTGGAGTCACCCTTGGTGACAGGACCTATGGAGAAGCACTCAAAGAAGAAAGAAGGCAGTTGCAACAGGAGTTTGGCCTTTCCTGGCCTTCATCCCCATATCTTGGGACTGTAGAATTGACAAGCTGAGGAGGTGTGCATTTGTGCACATATCTCCTCTATGGCAGGCAGAGGAAATCAGGATATGTGTGTGGTCTCCATCTGATTAGGCCCCTAAGCAAGGGTGGTCCAGGCATGCAGGCTGACAGTGGGTCATGGATGGAGAATGTGTCTTGGAAAAATCCGGATTACTTCTGTAGATACCTTCACTCATATTACTAGAAGTAATTTTTGGAGCTCTGTGTGGATTTTTCAGTAACTACATATTCAGTGTTGAAGCAGTATGTGTTTAGCTTTCTTGACTTTTAAGTGAAAATGAGAGGAGTGTACATTTTTCATGAAGTCGTCCTTCATGAAAGAAGTCTTCATGAAAAATGTGTCCTTGGCATCCATCAGAATATAATTCTTTCTAATTTTCTTGTTTGATTTCTCTAGATGAGAATAAACTGGAAATTAGACAAGCATTTCTTGCCCTAGCAGGTGTTCTGAAATGACCACCTGTTTTGCATGGTTTTGGGGTGATTTATTTAACTTTTAAGTTTTGGAGGAATTTACTAACCTTGATCTTTGTTTATTCTCATGGGCCTTACAGTACAGACGTCTATAGTCACTGAACTAACACTTGAAGAGTGAAGTCATAGCAAGCTTTTGTTAATCTTACAAATTGTAAAATTCCTAGCTTTTATGTATTTATATATAAATTGTATATTTTAGATATATATTGAAACTATTTTCTAACATAATGTGTTTTATAGTGGAAATACTAGTATGATGTTTGCTTCTAAGTTCCTCACTTGCTCTATTTTTTTTCCTGTTGAGGTGAATTACAGTAATACAGAAGAATATCTTTTGGTTATTCTGTCAGACATTTGATACAGTTATGGAGCTAGCATTGTATATTGTAAAGAATTATCTTTACTGCTGCTCATCAGACTCCACCTAGAAATCAGTGAACCTGTAGTGTTTTCAATTTTTGCTAGCTAATATCGTACTGAGTTATAATTTTGCTTCTTGTGACATATGTATTGCATATCTGTTTCTTCTATCTACAAATGAGTCCAACTTTCTTTGTTTAATTCTTGTTAATAAATCTATCAAAAAAGCTAGAGGGAGAAATTCAGATTCTGTAACTTAGTATTGTAACATGGTTGCCATAAGCATATGGTTTGTTGTTTAATTTCACAATGAGCATTTAAGAAACCTTGGAAAAGCCAGAGTATGAGGGATGGAGCTTTTGGATGTCTGGGTAAACTGAATGGGACAGGAGGTTGTTCTCCTTACCTTCTTGGAAAGAAGTGGAGAACAAGAGAGGCAGGGTTAGATCAGTCTGCACTGAATTCTGTGTCGCTTGCAGCTAAGATTGTCTCTGATAGCTGATCTGCTTAGGTCAGGCTATATCCAAGGCATGTTGCTCAACAAAGCTTTTTTTAATTAGCAGTAAGCAGAGGGGTGGAAAGCAGAACAGTCTCAGAACTCCTGGATGTTTTTCAAAAGAGTGGATGGCAGAGTGTGAAGTGCTAATGCTTGCTTTTGATGAATAAGAGGACATCAAACAGTGCAACCTTCATGATTTGTTTGGAGGATGCAAGGAGGCAAAAATAACCTGTCCAGAAAAAGAGTTACTTCTGATATAGATCTTGCTTTAGAGTTGCTATAAAAACATAAGAATTTAATGACCGTATGTAGAGAGACACAGCCTCTCAGAACTGAAATCCTTTCTGTATGAATAAACGGCTTCTCAGCCTTTATTTGAATTACTTTTTCCCTTCTCTCTCTTATTGCCACCTCCAACAAAAGACCCAATCAGTAAGTTATTAGTAATTAGTCACTGTCTAAAGGTTAATTTGTGGACTTGCTAAGAGTTTATTGCAGTTCAGTCTCTCATATATTTCTCCTTCATATGCTGCAGCACAAGTGGAGGTGTTGTCTGCTGCACTCAGAGCATCCAGTTTGGATCCTCAAGAAGAGACAATGGCCAGCGCCGGCAAAGAATTGGACTCACACACTGAGCTAACCATCAATGACCAACAAAATTTTAAACCTATACTGGGTGATATTGTGCCTTTAATTGGTGACACTGAGGTAAGCAGCAAGTTTTGTACCTCATTTTGCCGTACTTAAAACAGAACCCTACTGATAAGTGAATTCCGTTCTCCAGTGCCCTCCCCTCCTTGCTGCTTCCACCCCATACCCCCTAGGGATACTTTGTTCCTGGTGCTCCCTGTTGAAGTGTTTTATAGTAGTTTACTGGCCTGCATAAGAGGAGTTCAGGACCTGCAATCTAGGATGTTGGGAGGACTGGTGAAAGAGAAAGTAGATTCTAGCAATCAGTAATATTTTAAAGTTTTTTGCACTTACTTCTTCAGCTCCCCACCACTGCCCCCTGCCCGATTGGAGTCTGTGGTATTTGATACCATTTTCTGTTCTGTGCTGTGTATTAGGCCAAACCCACAATGTTCACGGCATATAGTGCCACAAGTTTTGGTGGTATTAAAAGGTATGTAGAAGGCAATGGTTCCAAAATCTGCTCTGTAAAATTACAGCAAGTGATTTGTTGAATCATACTGCCTAAATGGTATTTTCAGATAAAATTCTGATAAATGTCTTTGAAAAGTCTAGGAGTTGTCATCTGCTCTGATTAAAGAAGATTGAAAATGTCTGCACTGGACTGATGTCATTTAATTAACTTTTCATCTAAGCTATCGGACTACTGTGTAGCCCAAAACCATTTGGGGAGTGGAGTAGAGGAATGTGACATTTACTTGGATACTGCTGATTATCACAATCATAATTTAACACTACCAGTGTGGTTTGCTTGTTTGTTTTAAAAAAACAACCTGCCCCCAATTCCTTGTGTCAGGCTTGATATATTTCTTTATCATAGGATCTGTTGTAGTCACTTCTTTCTAATGCTAACCTGTAAAATGACAGTGTAAATGTATCCTCTGTCCTTCTAATTTTTGGAGGTGATGAGCATGGTGTTCGTTCAGAGGGACCTGTCCTGCATTTTATTTCTTTACAGATTATGATGCTGACAAGAAGCTTAAGAACCTGTCACATTGTTGTTATATGTTGTTTTTGCATGTTTCAGTTTTACTCTTTAAAAGGATGCTCTTAACCTGTCAGTTCCTTGTTTGTTAATAGCACTGAACTAAGTCCTTATTTTAAAAGTAGAAGAATATTATAGAGGTGACCTACAATTTGGGAACCAAGCTGTGGTCTGCTGATAAAGTGAACTGTTGCCCTTAGCAGTGAAGAGAACTCTGATTTTCACAGGAGGTTCTGTGGTGGGGTTTTTTGTTTGTTTATGGGTGTGTTTGGGGTTTTGTTTTCTTTTTGGGTTTTTTTTAAGTCTCAGCGTAGCAAACTGTCAATAGGATACTGGACACTTCAGGAAAAACAGCTACAGCATTTTATATTTGAAAGCAGCCTTCACAGTTCTGCACATGTCACAAAGCAAAATCACACTTTGCTTGTCCTTCTGCAGCTGTATAGGCTCCTGAAGGAGTTAATGCTACATGTTAAAGAGAGATTCTCTATTCATATGAAAACAGGTGTTGTAATGAGGTGAACAGGTAAAGTTTTGGGACATAGATGAAGCTTGTTTGTTGATGATGAGGGTAGCTGTTTTATTTTTCCTCAAGAGCCACCATTTTGATTTTCTTTAAGTTGCATGGTCTCTGTAAGGTTCGATAAATGAATGTAAGCATCAAGAAATCCCCCAAGTCATACTCCCAGTGGATGGATGTGGGAGTCCTCTTTTTTTGGTTGGAGGTAGAGGGAGAAGGGAAGAAAAAGAATGAGAAAGGAAACTGGACTAAAATCAGCCCATCCCCATCTGGCACAAGTACCTCTCTCTAAGAAGAGGGTGGATGCCAGGAGGAGACTGGACACCTGAGACTGGCCTCTTCTCTCTGTGTTTGGGCCAACTGCCCTGCCAGGAAATGCCAGCACCACTTGTCCTGGTGCTGTGGGCTTTGTGTGCAACGTGTGTCACAGAGCAGTGGTCTACGGAGCACAGCCACGGAGCTCTTGTTACACTGCAGCTAAGGGAAACCTCACATAAGAGATTTGTAAGGCCGTGACAAAGATTCTGCATTGTGGAGGTGGTGGTTCACCAGTTTGGTATGCAAAAAACTTTCAGGCTAAACCCTGCTGAATATTTATGTCCCGGCTCTCTGCAATGCTCAGTTCAATGTTACATGGAAAAAGTACAGATGGAACTTCATCTGCAGGAGTAGAGATACTGCATTGACTTAAATACCGACTGATTCTGTGGTTCTTTTGTATTGAAGCTCTTCCTTTCTGGAATACATATTTGACTTTAAAAGCGGCCGGGTAGAAACATTCCCATCTGTGACACCCTTCAGTATATTTAGTTGTTCAACTTAGTTCAATCAATAAAGTATTATTTTTATCTTTTTTTTTAAACTTTGCCTTTTAGAGCTGGGATAGCAGAGGTTGTGAGATGGAGTCTTTTCATTTGTATTGGTCCCAATGCACCTGGGCAACTCATAGAAAGCACTGTGGCTAGCTTGTGCTGGCTGCCTCAATTTCTTGATTTGAAAGGAGTCAAAGCTGGTGACTTTCTGGCAATGCTGAAAATGATCTCTTTTTCTGGAAAAAAAAAAAAAAAAAGGCTGAAAAGGAGTGAAAAGCTGGAATCCTGCAGAGATGGTTTTCAGAGGCTCTGGAGGTTTTATAGTTGTATGCTGCTGAACACATTTAGTTACGGAGTCACTTGCAGATCTGTTCTTTCCTTGTCTCTGACACCACCTTGGTGCTGCTTGATAAGCCTGACAGGTGACTTGGGCTGCTGTGCCAGTGATTTACAATTGCCTCACAGCTCTGCCTGTTCTTTATCACCTGTAATTATACTTCAGTGACTAAAATTACAACCCAGTGCTTAGATGAAAGCAGATCATGGAAGAGGAAAAAAACAACTCTGCAGTCAAACCAAGGAAGACAGATGGTATCCTGGAGGCTTTTTTGAAGAAGTTTATAGTTTGCTTGAGAATTCTCATTGTCAAACTGGTCTGAACAGCTGGTAGAGTAGACATGTTCTTGGTGCTTGTGTTGACCCTGAGAGCTCACCCTGCAGCATCTGTGAATAGATAACGTTGGCTTGTATCTGGCAAAATGCCTTTGTCCTGTTCTACCAGACAGCAGCCAGATCTACATTTCAAATATTCATCACATACTTCTTGAAATTCATGGTTGATTATGCAAAGTCCATTGTATCTGGGGAACTCCACTGGTATTGAAAGTGACAGTGCATCCCCTGAGCAGCACAAGTAATCATAGCTTATCAAACCTCTGCTGCTTGGTAGAGTCTGAAATAGTCTCAGTCCTTATCTTCAAGGCCCAGGTATGTCGCCAGGATGCTTGAATGATTGCTAGAAATTATTTTAATAGAACCGCTGAGAGGGGTGATGACTAGTGTCAGCAGCTATGATCCACTAGGACTCTGTTTTATAAGGTGCTCATCTGTAGAGAAGATGATAGAATAATCACCTGTAGGAAAGGAGCAACAGCATAAGTCTCATCAGTTTCTGCTGTTCAGTGTGAGGGTGGCTTTGTTTTGGCATTTTTCTAACACAAATCCAAAGCAACAAATCCCGCAAAATCTGCTACAGATATTTTCTCGTTTTCCCTTCAGGGGGGAAGCAATGTGACACATGTTAGTTACAGTTTTCTTAACGCAAAGGTACTCCTCCCATGTGATTTTCATTGCTTAAGAACCAAAATGGAGCGGAATAAGAGGAGCCTGTGTTTGAAACTAAAAGCAGAAAGATTCATCTTACAGACCTTTTGATGTTAGATTGTAGCAAAATTGTATTTGATATTAAAACATGTATTCCTTTAATCTAAGAAAAAGACCCTTGATGTTGACCTTTGTTTTGTGTTTAATCCTTGAGTGTATTTTGTGTGACCTTTTTTCTTTTTTCATAGAATATGGACTCTACACTTCACTATATTCATAATGATTCAGATTTGAGCACCAACAGTAGTTTCAGCCCTGAAGAAGAAAGAAAATCTAAAGTGCAGGTAAATGACAGTGACTTCTGTTTTTCCTACATGAATCAAGTAAGTGGAAATTCTTATGTATATTGGGATTTCTTTTATGCATTTCATTCAGTCATTCTGATATAATGTAGTTTCTATTAAATACAGCAAGCCTCTTAAATAGGTGGTTTTAAAATATTCTGCATTTCCAGAGATAATGGCTTAATTCAGCAGTTGCTTCTGTTTTAGTTATGTAGAGGACATGACAGTATTTTTTGACATGAGGTAAGATTGTCATAGACTTCCAGGCTCTGGTTTTGTTTGATTTCATTTTTTATGGAAACTATCCTGTGGTAGAAGTTAGGTTATTGAGGAAACAGGATTTTTTTGTTAAATGTTTTGAGTGGAACCACCTCCACCCCAGGCAGCTTTTTTGCAGAAAAGTTGGGAAAGTGTTCATTAAGCTTGAACTGTCTCTTTGTTATTTTTTCTCCAAAGGTATTGAATGTTTGTTGTTACACAGTTCATTATTAAGTGTGCCACCCTGCACCAATGTGATTCCTTGAGTGGGAACCTTTGTCCTTCTTGTTACTTATGTGAGCTGAGCTATTCGACAGCTGTGTTAGGGAAATGCTCTTGTGCACCCCATCGGGTAGAGTCACTGCCTGAGATAAACTGACAACAACTGAAGTAAAGGCAGTGTTGAAGTCAGCGCAAAGAGGCTTTCACAAAATTTTAGTTCAGATGCTTTAATTTCTCAGTGGGGAGAAGGATTGGTCTTCACCAGAGATCTTTTTGTCTCTGGAGAAGCCTTTTCCTTCCTGCTGTTTATTTAGGGAGTTTGGAAGCAATATTGAACACATTATACTGTGCTCCCTCCCCTTCTCTCCCTCCCCAAGGAATTTAAATGTAGTTTTCTTTTTCCCACCTCCCCAAGATTTTGAGAGGAATAGGAAGATTATTTTTGAGCAAGCCTTGTCATTTTCTGTTCTGCCTGTTTTTACGGATGAGTTAAAATGGCCAGTTGGTGCAGCCTGGATGTTTGTAGAAAGGTAGAATGTAGTCCCTTAATTTCCTGATCTGCCTAAGTAGATGGCGATCCAACTGCTCATCTGTTAATGTTGGTCTGTGTATTTTCAAATAGCCCCCAGTCATGTCATCATTTCTTTGGAACTTTTTGGTGGAACTTAAGAAATACAAAACCTTTGCATTGTTATTAAGAGACTGTAATTAAATAATACTGGGGGGGGGGGGGG